CTATTTCTGAAAATTTTCACCCATTTTATGTAGAAAATTATGTTATTTTTGGAATTTTTCGGAAATAGGTGTTATTTTTGGAAATTTTTTTATAGTATTTTTGGAAAAACTCATGTATACTGGTATTAGAATTATTAAAGCACAAGCAGCCAAAAATTCCCAAAAAAACGAAAACACTGTTCATCACGAAAAAACCGGGTGTACTGTTCACGAGAAGGCTTGGTGATTGTCTGCGGTCGGATTCGCGTGAGCTTATGTGTACTTACATTGGGCAGATCAAGCATGGCCGTTGATGTGAGCTTATGTGTACTTACATTGTATTGTTGCTATGTTATGAAACTATAATTATCTACCAAACGATGAAGAATGAGGCAACGATGGCGAACCGGCGACGAGCATGAGTTCCCCCAAACGACGGCGGCGGACCTCCTCACATCCCAATTCTTAAACCTACTCAACGACGCTCCGTCAGATGACGCCGGGAACCTCACTCCAGCAGACGGCGACGGTGGTAACAAAGTAGGAAGCTGCTCCTACTTGCCCGAACAATTGCAAAGTTGACAAACATGAGCGGCGACAGCAAGACCGGCGACGTGAATGAGTTCCCTTCTGCTGAGGGCTACAGTAAATCGCTGGATTTTGGTGAGTCAACAACTCGATTAAGCACATTGGAGATGATACCCTTTCTTCTTTATTTCTGCTTCAATTGAATCAAAGGAGGTAATCTAGGGTTAGTTATTCTTAGCCCTGATTTTTGAACGAGTGCTGACGAACGACAATTTCCCCTCTTTCTCACCTCCCTGAACCCACTGAACGGCACGCCGGAGAGAGGCAGTGGAAACGACAGATATCTCATCTCCGATCCCATCAAACGGATGTCGACAAAGCGACGCCTGATTTTCCCTCTCTCACCAGTTGAAACGGCTCGCCGACGGGGAGATTGGTGACGCCAGATTTGTCCGGGAAATTCTGTTTCTTCTTTCCGATCCGCCACTCTTATTTATTCTCCAACAAATCCATTCCTCAAATCCAACTATTACCTTTCTTCTTCAATTCAATTTCGTCTGGACAAGCTGGGGTCGGAGTTGCATGAAAATCGGAAACTCAGCTACCTCGATTTCTTCTTATAGCTGCCCACGGTTCTTCCACTTGTGTTCCTTCTTCTTGATGTTGAGGGTTTGAGATTTAAGGTTCAATTCCAGAATAGAAGAGCATTGGCGGCCCTCATTGGGGTTTCAAGAGTTTGGGATTCGAGGTTCGTTCTTGAAGAGAAGAGGATTGGCGACCCTCATAGGGGTTTCATTGATGAGATGATCTGGACATCAAATCTTTTGAGGGACGACTCTGTGAAGGTAAATTATAATTCAATTCATTGTTTGTTCTTTCTTAATTACTCAATACTTTTCTTCAACTGTGACGTAATGAGCATAGCTCTAAGTTTTCAATTCATATCTTATTGCTGCCATATATTGGCACAAGGTCAGTTTGATGATAAGTAATAATTCAATTAGTTTTGATTTACAAGACCCAAGCAACAGATTGGGGTTGTTGGTTGTTCTTTGAGTTAATTTCAGACAGTTGGTCAAAGCTTGGCATCAAAGATTCAGTTGAGTAACGGATCATCAATTAGTTATCTTTCATCCTCTGCTATTGGTTCAAATGGGTCAAAACAAAGCATCATTGTTCTAATTGGATTCTCGGGTTTTGTTGAAGAGTCTTTAATTAAGTAAACTTCATCCCTGGCCTGTATGGATGATTCTGTTCAATAATTTTTAATACTTCCTTCCTATATCTTTGAAGCTTTCCTGGAGAACTTAAGATACACTCAGACATACTTGATTTGTTAGGTTTTCTACATCCCTTTTTTGTGGAGGAAGATAGATGTTTTCAACTAAATCCATTGCTTTGTGTCTTTGGTGTATCCATCATGACATGGCCTTGGGTGAATTAGATAGATGTAGATACTCTAGAGAAACCCTTCAGAATTTAAGGTTAGCTGTTTGCCCAAAAATAGATGCAAACAGCTCCTCGGAGGCTTTGACTTCACATTGAATCAACCAATGAATGTTGACTGAGTTTTCCTTTGTAGTTTAAGATTGATATGGAATTCCATGTTTTAGTAGTGGTTGGTTACTGATAACTCCAATTAGATTCTCCAACTTTTGGCGGATGGTGGTGAATGCCATGGGATTTAATCTAAGCTCTATCATCTTTTAAAAAGTTTGGGACATGGAAACACCTGTCTTTCCCTTTAGGAAGATTGGTGTCTAGGAAATTTGGAGCATTTCCCCTATTTTCCTCTTCTTTTCCACGTGTGGATTGGGTGCTCCAGCAAGTTTATTTTAGTTGTTATAGGTTTGGGTCTTTGGGATGTGTATCTGCTTATGCATACTAATTTATGAATGAGAAAAGGGTGTATAGCCAAATGAAATTGCCTGATTTCATATTAGTGGTCAAATTTTCTTTTTTGCCATTACGGGATGTTTGATTATAGAAGTTCAAGACAAATGCTGTTCCAATTAGTTGGAGTGGAGTACTTAGAGGGATTATCTTTTTCAGTAAGCTGTAAAATCTATGCCTTTCTTCAATCCTTATTGATTAGTTTCTTTGTTGTCGTCTTGGAACATGTATTCTCACTTCAGAGCGCTTGCAGAAGCAAATCCCGTCGAATACTCCACTCAATCTTATATGTCATATTCCTATCTAGGAAGCTGAATGCATGGAATGGTGCTACTTTGGTGTTGTTTCAGTTTGAGGACAACAGAAGAAAGGTTTTGATCCTCATCACCAGACCATACTCCAATTGGTGTTGTTGCATATTGAAAGAATGAAGTAGACCATGTCATCTTCCCAATGTTTGACATTCAAGTAACTCGAACCCAGACTGTCAATGACTAAATTGAAGCACTCTTAGTTGTCGATAACTTAGGCCCATGGCAGTTAGGAGAGCACTTAGCCTTTTTAATGAAGGTATTGAGGGAGCTTGGTGGATGGGGATGCAATAGTTGTCTCCTTGCTCATGCCAATGAATCTTCTGACGGTATTTTCTACTCTCTACAGAGTAGAGTGGAAGGAAATGTGCGCCTGCAGCCCAACGCACCTACTCTACCTTTTGGTTGTGGTTCTTGGGCCCCATTTCTGTTGCAGCTTCAAATCTAAGGAACTTATTGAATATGTATCTCGCCGAGTACAACAATTCTCATTGTTGATAATTATGAAATTCGATAAGCATTAGTAATCAACCGGTTCTTTTTTTGAGTGGCCTCCTTCCTCATGTTAATAAATGTTCTAATGAAATATGTGAAGTTAGATGATCAACAAAGTCAAGGTTGCTCTCTTCCTTACATGTATTAGTCTCTTTACAGTAGTTTGACTGTTGCCCCTATTGTTTAGTGAACATGCACTTTACAACAATGAGGAGAATTTCGGTACAAATTTGTTTGTACGAATCATCGTGATAACCGCTGGGTACCGCGGGCTATATCGCTAGTTGTAATTATTTGTTGACCATACGTGTCTTCTGCTAACTATATTTTTGGGAGGAGATGGAGAATGTACCAGATCCTAAATTTGTTAAACAACTTTATTCTATATATATGAGAATTCAAAATTCAACTTCACATGTCATACAACAACCACGGAACCACCCACTCGTCAGTCGTCATATATAAATCTTTCTGATATAAACAAATAAATAATAAATATAAACCGCTGCCTTTTATTTGCCTTTTTTTCCTTTTTTCCCCATACGGGATCTGACAACAATTAGTCCTTTCTACTTCTTTTTATCAGTCACGGCAATTAGTCATTACTCATTACCTAAGCATCACTCACTAATCTTGTGCGGTTGTGCCTTTATAACTAAATATAATAATAATAAAAAAATCAGAAAAAGCTAATTTTTCCTATAGATTGTTCGTTATAATTCTTTTTTTGGTCGAAAATTCTTTATAATCTCATTACACGAGATAATAAAAGATATAAGTTAAAATTCACGAAACTATAATTAATTACCAAAATCACAAAAAAGAAGGGACAGGCGTGTGAGATAATGAGCAACCCGAATCCAATCACAACAATCTATATCATAAGATTCTAGTAGCGTTATTAAAATAAAATGAAATGATATATTAACCTACTATTATACAGATGTAATGAAATCAAAACAGGTCGGTGATATAAGGGTTTGTCAATATAACTGTGTAAAACCTACAATCATGATATTTTTAATTCTAATTTTGTACTATAATAACCTAAACAACAATAACGATATATGCAATCCGATAATCCTCAGCTATAGGGCTGGGAAACGGTGCGGTCTGGTCCAGACCAGACCAAATATACGGTCTATGGTCCAGACCGAGAGGCTGAAGTATAGACCACTGTCCAGACCACAGACCATACGGTCCGGTCCAGACCACGCCTGTGCGGACTGGTTTGGTTTGGTCTGGTCTAGATAGACCACACTCAAAGAAAATTGAATAATTTGTTTAGTCAATCACACAAAAAATTGAACCAATAACCAAGAAAAATAATTGTTATGTGCTTTAAAATTCTTAGAAATAACAAAAATACAAAGTAAAAGCATACAAACTTGCACCATAACGTTATAAACATTAACATAATGTCATATGGAGACACGATTATCTCTACTCTCTGGTTAAATGTGGTTGTGAACGAAAGAGGGACGAGATTCTCAAAATTAAGGTTGAGATTTGGGTGTCGTTGTGTGAGTTGGGAGGGTGATCGAATAGGCTATTAACACGTATTGACAAGTTGGTTGGGTCCACGGTTTGGTCCAGTAAACCGCGGTCTAGACCAGACCAGACCAAGAGATCAAAACATAAAATAAACCAGAACATGGACCAGACATACTTAAAGGTCTATGGTCCAGACCAAACTGTGCGGTACGGTTTGGACCACAGTTTTTCTAACGGTTTGGTCTATTTTCCCAGCCCTACTAAGCTATATATAACATAACTAACCTTCTTCTTTACCTGATTATTGTTGATGCAGCTCCATAAAGAAAACATTAAAAAAAAAAAAGAAGAGAACCACAAAGCCTCAAACTCTCGAGAATGAAAATCCTATTAGCACACAATCAAACAAAAACAATCAATTACCAAAACACAGCACACTCATCTCATGATTCAAACCCCACACTCACAAAAAAGAATGATAAATAAATGGCAAAATCCAAGCCACTTGTTTATTTCCCTCAATCCGTCATTATCATATATTTTTCTTAAAAAGACAAATAAATAAATAAATGAGATTATTAGTAATGAAGGACTTGGTGATTGAATTGAATTGAGCCAAATAGAAATCCGCCCGCGATGACCCACCCTATCCTTTCGTCTTCCCCTGCAGCCAAGCCAGCCCTCGCCTCGCCAATGACAATCCCAAAGCCTTCTTCTTCTTCCTCCTGCAAGCAGCAGCAGTAGTAATTGCATTTGTCATAAAAACCCGCACTCGGGTTTCCCCGCAGACCGCACACGCTCTCCCCTTTTCCGCCACTTGCTTTTAAACAACTCGTCCTCTCACTCACTTCCCTACTATTTCACCTGCTTCCGTCCTCTCTCCGATTTCCACATCGCTACCAATTCAGATTCCTCTACACCTCTCTGCAGAATCTATTATAACGCTTTTTACTCTCTCTCTCTCTCTCTCTCTCTCTCTCTCGCACAAATCACGTTTCCTTGGAGACTATAAACAAGGATAGTTTTTTTTTTTGGGGGAGGGGGTTTCTTACCCTGCTCTGCCTCTCTGCTTCACTGTCACGATTAGCTGGAATTTGCCAGGCTCCTTTGTCTTTGTGGGTGGCATATAGACTGGGGTTTGAGGATTTTGGAGGAGGAGCTGGCTGTGGGGGCGTGAGAGGGAGGGACGACAACTACGCCCACGATCTGTTTGGTTTTATTCCTCTTAGAAGACGAGTAGAGAGTCGGGTTTTTTTCTTCTTTGGGGTTTTGAGGGATAATCAATCATGCCATCAGGTGCGAAGAAGAGGAAAGCTGCTAAGAAAAAGAAGGAACAGCAGGCCTACCACCACCATCCCAGCGACAGCAGCAATGGGAACAACCCACAAGGTCGGTCCTGGTTTTACCCTTTCTTTTTTTTTCTTTGGGAAAACGATCTACTAACTTCCTTTCCAGGTTGGGTTTGGGTAGGAGAGCCCATCACTCTCCTTTCCACGCCTTGCCTATCTGTCATTCAATCATACTTTCCGTTGCTCGCCTTTTATATGTTGCCGTCTCTCGGTTAGTTGTTCGTGGTGGTGGTGGATGAGTTGGTTCTAGGTTCCTTAACCCCCATTGCTCTGGGATTTTTGAGTTTGAAAGGGTTTCCGCCTTCTGTTCATTTCCGGATCGATGGGTATTTGCTTGCAGCTTCTTCTCCTTTGTTTGATTGTTCTTTGTTCGGATAAGTGTGTAGTTGAATTGTTACTATCGTCCTGCTTTTTGCTCGATCTCTATACTGAATGAATCTCACGTGGAGCGATGCGCGGAATTCTCTTGCTGATTTCCTCAAGAATGTTCTCTGTTAGCGTGTTGGTCAATCTTGATATTTATCTCCTTTGTTATTGTGGTGGTTGTTGTCCGATTTGCTTGTGTGAGGTGCACTCCGTCGTTTCATCTAACCCAATAACATTGGGACTTGGCGCTGATTTTGGTCCGTTCGCTGTCATGCGCCTGCTTTTATCAACTTTGCATTGTCAATCATTCCTTGTATCCGGAAATTATGGTTTAGTTCTTGGCATTGCCTGTTTCATTTGCGTGATTTGAATTAGACGGTTCGGGTTCTTGAACCCGATTCAGCCTTGCCTTTTCGCTTGCCATCATGGGTACTATTACTTCGGTATCCTGTCTTTAATTTGGAAGTCCTTTGTTGCTCTTTATTTCTTATCTTCCAAATGAATGCAGGAAACGGTGATCAAAAAGTTGAAGATGAGAGGGATAGTGATATCTCTGAGGTGAATTCCCCAGGATCAGAAGGGAATCCTCATCGCCAGCATACATTTGACGAGGGCAATGGATTACCCGGCAACACTGGGATTGCTGCTGAGAATCCAACTGGAGAAACAGGACGAAGTGATGAAGCTGCACACCATGACGATGAGGTGATTAAGAGGGAGGAGGATGGGAAGTCTTCTGATCAGGAAGTCAAGAACCGTGAGGTTACCCTTGAGCACATGGATTCTGAAAAGGCCTCCCATGGTGACAGAAGCTCAACTAGTAGCAGCAGCAGCTCTTCTGATGATGAGTCCTCCTCAGCAGTTCAGGATAAGCTAAACGAAGTGGTGATACCAATTTCTGAAGAAGTTATCACTGAGATGGAAGCTGCTGAAGTTGTGAACCCTGAGGTTATTGAGATTGCTGAAGGAGGATTGAAGGATCATGAGGTGAAGTTGCCTACATCTTATCAGTCTAATGAAGTGCTAGTGCCTTTGGATTCTGGTAAAAATCAAGAAGTTTTCCCTACATCGGATCAGAATGTTGAGGTGGTTAGCGAAACTGTTACCGAAGGTAAAACATTGGCATCATTAGGTGCTGCTGCTGAAACCAGCATTCCTCAGGGTGCCCGTGCTTCTACTGAAACCGATGTTAGTGCTGTTTACGCTAAAGACACCAAGATTTCTGAATCAATCGAGAAACAGGTATGCCAAGTCTTGTCAAAACGTCAAGTTTCTTCCTTTTTATTTGGTACGAGGTGATTGGTGACTAGTAGCTTTTGCTCTACATTTTTTTCTCTTTATACAGCCTCTTGTGGCCAACAATGCTCCACGTTTAGCTCAACGAACCTCCTGGTTTAGCTGCTGTGGCTTATTGGATGCATTTACTAGTTCCGATCGGTGATGCCAGGTAAACATAAATCCCAACTCCACATTTAGTTTCCTGTGCAATCGCTGTTGTGGGCCTTATTTTCCAATTGCCTTTTGTTGAATCATTGAGCCACATCCTCTGTCTTGAATTTTATGGATAAGCTGTTAGCTTTCTTCTGTTTCATTGAGTGGATATCCTGGAACCTGGATGTCGCCATTCTAAATGTGCCAGTTGATTTATGAGCTAATCAGAAAACAAAACCAGACACAGTAAGTTGCATACTTCGCTAGGTTGTATCCAATGGAATCTCCACTCGAGCTGTTTGAGGGAGGAAATGATTCAACCCTCAATGAACGATTCCATCTGGAGACGGGCTATTATTACCGTGCTTTGAGGAAATTTCCACGCACCGTGTCACTTAAGTGGGTGGCACAATCTTATTGTTTCTTCTGATAATTCTACTAGCATTGAAGTAGCAAATTCAAAGATTTCAGTGTTAAATCCATGAGAAATTGTTCTTAAATCATTTGCTTTGACTGCAGACACAACGCTCGATGAATCATGGGCAGGCAATTGGGGAGTATTTGTTACAGCTCGGAGTTAAAGTCCTTTTGAGAAAGGGAAAAGGAGGGTAAATGAATTTCTGAATAAAGAACGAGGAACATACTATAGAGGGAAGCTTTTCTTTTTTCTTACAAGGTTTTAGAAACATAGCACTAGTTTTATGGAGTCTCTAGGGTACTGCTTAGTTTACCATACAGACTATGTTTCTCTCTAAGGATGTGTGTTGATTCTTCAGTGGTGTCAATAGAACAGTGTGTTTGTTGTACCTGCTTCGCTTATATTGATCATCATTGATCATCATCGACGTTTGTTTCATTGTTGGAAATGTTAACATCTTTTAGTCGATTTTGATCATCAACGAGGGCTGTGCAATGTTTTAGTCGATTTTGCCAAATCAACTTTCTGATAGACTTCATGTTGAAACTGGATAAACTCGAAAATGGTCTGAATTATAGAGAATGCTTGTTCATCACTTTCTGGAGAGAACACGACCATGAATGCCCAAAACCGGTACCAGTGGCAATTAGCATTAGTGCCTTGCTGCTTCTAGCAAAGAAGATACTGGATCCTTAGCATTCAGTGCTCCAGGTTAGTAATAACCGTGAGCAACAAGCAATGGTGAAAGGTTATACACAGAACACAAATTCTCGTTTTTATTTGTTTGATGAGAATACAAACTCCAGGCTCCAGACATACCAGCATTAATCACACAACAGAATGGAAAGTAGAAATACTCAATGAGCAAAGGGATACATTATGGGGGCTTGAAATGAATCCGGAAGAAGGAAGGAGAGGAAATATATAAACAAACAAATTTAGGGTCACTCTGGAAAGAATTGAAAGAGAAGGCACAACACCGCGCTCTGATTATATGCATCTTCACATTGGTAATTTCTCTCATCTTCTGAGAGAAGCAGCACCATGAATGGCTGCTATGTACAGCAACTGGGTCGCTGACAAGATGATCATAAATGCTTCCATGGTTCTCTGCAAAAAAGTGATAAAGAAATATATATTAGTATTATTACTCTCCATGGCGGACTTGTGGGGAGAAGAAAGCTTGATATCCAAATGTCTTCTTACCAGTCGGGTGTTCCTGCCTTCGAGTTCAATCTGTTTGCAGGCGAAACTGTAAAAACCAAAAGAGTTGAAAGTCAATTTCAAGTTTAGGGTCGAAAGATTGAATGATTCAAGAGAGAAAGCTCTGGTTTTAGTTGCGAGAAAATTGAGTACTTACCCCATAGCGAGAAGAGTGAGGGTCCAGGCAATGGTGCCAGCGGAGGCAGCAGCCGGCAAGCTATCGGAATTCCAGGCACGGATGTGGTTTAAACCGGAGATTACAGAGGCGGCACCCACCACGCCGGCGATCAAAGCAAACGTGACGAAGAATCCCGTCGCAGCATTCCCCATCGGGAAGTAAATGGGCGAGAAATGAGCCGGGAGTTCGAACCCAGGTCCTACAACAACGTACAAGGCGGAAAAGTGGCAATCAAGGTTTTGCATAAAGAAATTTGAAGAAATTTCTCCCAACCGGAAACATAAGCAATGACTTACCAATGAGGAAGCCATGATCAATGGCTTTGTTCATGGCCCATCCTCCGATACCCAGAACGATGGCGTACATGCAGAAGTTTAGGACTAAGAGCAAGGATGCCACGGATTTCATTTGATCATTCGCCATTGCTTATTAATCTCTGTGGGTTGGAAAAGCAAAAGGCTGGAAGAGAGCAGCTAAGAAGATGTTGAAGTACTCTGTTTTTCGCTCTGTCCTCCTATGGCGGCAAATGACCGATGCTTATAAATGGAACGGTTATGGTTCTTTGCTTGTCAGGACTGTTACCTTTTTTGCTGCGTTGGGTTTTGTAATCCATTCCAAAATAGTTGTAAAGCCCTTCGCTTCATTGCTTCAGCTTCAAGGCGATTCCGTCGCCTGAAGGGGAAAACCAAACCCTGGCTGGAGATTCTTTCTTTGGCGATTACATCTTTCGCAGAGTGAAATCAGAACATTCCTTCTGTGGGGTGCTTAGGCTTTTCTTGGAGCTCTTGTTTTCCGATGTAAAGCGATATTCTTTGCCAGATGGAAAAGGATCGCTTGCCCGTTGGGGCGGCCCTTCCTCCGCCGCCGGCAGCCGGACCTACCATGCTTTCCCCGGCAGCGGCGGAACTTTTCGGCTGAAACACTGCGTTTATGAGGAAGTCGAAAATACGTTCAAAGCGGCGTCGTTTGGTTGGTGTTTAAAAGGTTTTGCTTCTCTCTCTTCTTCTGGAAGGAGACGATGCTGCCAATTCGCGCCAGATTTCGAAATCTCAACTCATTCTCCGCCGCCGAAAGTTCACTGCGTTTCTCGTTCCCACCGGAGGGATTTCGGTTCAATTTCCATGGGTTTGATGCAGTGGGCGAGATCAATCACTTCCTCGAACAAAGCTTTGATCACTCATCACTTGAGGAGCCAAAGATTGGACCAAGCTCGCGCTATTTTCGACCGAATGGCAGCTCCTGATGTGCAGTTATCCACGATGATGGTGACTGGATACACGAGAAATGGAAGGATTGACGATGCGTTGAAGCTGTTCGATAAAATGGCAACCAGAGACGTGATTTCGTGGAACTCCATGGTGCAAGGGTGTTTGGATTGTGGAGATTTGGGTACTGCCAGAAGGCTGTTCGATGAAATGCCTGAAAGAAACGTGGTCTCTTGGACCACTATGGTGAATGGGTATATGAAGTCTGGGAGAGTGGAAGAGGCCGAGGGATTGTTTAGGGATATGCCGGGAAAGGATGTTGCGGCTTGGAATGCGATGATTCATGGTTATTGCGGCAATGGGAGAGTCCAGGATGGCCTGAGGTTGTTTGAGTGTATGCCTCGCAGGAATGTGGTTTCCTGGACTTCTTTGATTGGTGGGCTTGATCAGAACGGGAAGAGTGAAGATGCATTGCTTATTTTTAGGAAGATGGTAGGTTTGGGAGTTGAACCCACTTCCACCACATTTGCTTCGGCACTCACAGCTTGTGCAAATTCTACAGATCATAAGCTTGGGATTCAAGTCCATGGTCGTCTCTTTAATTTAGGTTATTATCGGTTTGATGAATACATCGCAGCTTCACTTCTGACACTTTATGGCAACTGCAGGAGAATAGAAGAGGTTAATCGGGTTTTCTCCGAGTTAAACCTGCACAGAAACGTGGTAATATATACAGCTCTTTTAACAGGATACTCTTTCAACGCCAAACACGAGGGTGCATTAATGGTTTTCATCAAGATGATTAGGGAAGGGGTTTTCCCAAACCAATCTACATTCACCAGTGTTTTGAACTCATGCCGTGGGCTCGAATCAGTGGACAAAGGTAGAGAAGTCCATACAGTAGCCATAAAGATCGGTCTTGAAACCGATGTCTCTGTTGGCAATTCCCTCTTGGTTATGTACACTGAATGTGGGAACGTACATGACTCTGTTGCAGTATTCAAGAGGATTGAGGAGAAAAATACTGTCTCCTGGAACTCGATAATTGTTGGAAGTGCACAACATGGATGTGGGATTTGGGCCCTGATCTTCTTCAATCAAATGCTTCGTACTGGATTTGAGCCTGACGAGTTCACATTCACTGGATTGCTTTCTGCTTGCAGCCGTTCTGGGATGCTACAGAAAGGTAGGCGCTTTTTCGAGTACATCACTAGATACAAGTCCGCATCAGTCGATCTTCAACACTACACATGTATGGTGGACATCTTGGGCAGATCTGGGAAACTGCATGAAGCAGAAGAGTTGGTGAAAAATATGCCCATGAAACCCAACTCGATGGTCTGGCTAGCTTTGCTTAGCGCTTGCAGGGTTCATTCCAACGTCGATGCAGCAGAGCGAGCTGCGAAGAGCATCTTCAGTCTGGACCCACATTGTAGCGCTGCCTACGTTTTGTTATCGAATATGTATGCCTCTGCTGGTCGATGGGCCGATGTCTCTCGAACCAGGGTTCGAATGAGACATGGTGGAATTGTCAAAGAAAGAGGATCCAGTTGGGTTGTTATGAAGGGAAAGAAACACGAGTTTGTCTCCGGAGACAGGGGGCACCCTTTGATTGAAAGGATATATGAGAAGCTGAGATGGCTGAGAGAGAAACTCAAGGAAGTTGGGTATGTGGCTGATCAAAGGTTTGCGCTGCATGATGTCGAGGATGAGCAGAAAGAAGAAATGCTGTGGTGTCACAGTGAGAGGCTGGCTATTGGATTTGCGTTGATTAGTAGTGTGGAGGGAAGTGGGATCACGGTGATGAAGAACTTGAGAGTGTGTGGGGATTGCCATGAAGTTATTAAGCTTATATCGGGAGTTGTTGGGCGGGAGATTGTTGTCAGGGATTCTGGTCGGTTTCACCACTTTAAGAACGGTGTTTGCTCTTGTTCAGATTATTGGTAGGTTGGTAGCTTCTGTTTAGTGTTTTCTTTAAAGTTTCAACTATGTAATGAAATCCATCAATACAAAGATAACCATGGAAATTTCGGCTGAGTAGTTCTTGTAATGTGTGATAATGCATAAATGAAAGAGTTTGTAAACTCTTTCCAAAAAAAAAAAAAAAACGAGTTTTACTCAACAAAACCCTCCAATAAATATTTTTTCCTAAACACATCATCAACTTCAAATTTTGTTACATTCACATCAATTCAATTGCAAAATCATTGCGGTCTCAATAATTCATACAATCTAACTTATATTAATTTCATTGCACCTACATTATTAATATATTAATTTAATTATTATTATTAATTATTATTAATATATAAAAGCCTAGGTTTGAGTTACTAATCATTAGTGGCTCTCACACTTAGGGATGGCAATGGGTAGGGTTGGGGCGGGTTTTGTCAAACCCAAACCCAAACCTATGGGTTTATCCGCTAAAAAAACCCGGGGTAAAACTCGTTGGGTTTGAAAAACTCAAACCCAACCCAACCCGCTGGGTATCCGCGTGTTCATGGGTACCCGTGGGTTTTTGTGGTAAAAATTTACAATAACAAGTTTCTTTCAAAATAAAAGTTTAACATAAATTTTCTCATACAAATTAATCATATAAATCCTCGGTCGGGTATTTTTGACCTTGACCGGGGATTAACCCCCTGTCTCCGACGGTGCGTTTCAACAATCCCCGGTCGCCACCAAAAATACCCGACTGGGTATTCTGACAGGGGATCGCGAACGCAGGCTATTAAAAGCCTGTTTTGTGCGTTTTTGCAAGGGAGAGCTGGGTTTTGGATCCCAAACACCCAAGGGACGAACCAAAGAGAGAGAGGGCGATTTGAGGGCAATCTTGGAGTGGAATTGGAGGATTTCTTCCCCTTGGAAGCTCGAGGAACAAGCCTGGATTTGAAGACTGATCATCTGAAGATTCTTACTGCTGTCTCTCTCTTCTCTATGGAGTAACTTCCCTTCACTTAGGTTTTGAGGAACCCTAGCTATGTTTGTTTGATTGGATGATTGTATGAGTACTCCTACTTGATAATCTTGAGTTCATATTCAATCTATGCATGTTTTCATGATTCAATTCTGCTTTAGTCGAGATTAATGATTTTGCTTTGATCATATGAGAGCGAAAACCTTATTAGGTCAATAGAGCACCATAGATTGATAGTATTGGATCGATTGCTTTAGTCGAGGGTCGATTCACTGCTTTGTATCGATTGAGAACCTCATTCGATAGAGGTAGTGATGACTTGATATATACACATGTTTTTGTCCACCATTCTTACACCGTTTGAGTCTTATCTCTCGTGTTTTAGGCCGATTTCATGCTAGGGTGTTCTTGTTTGTGATATTTCAGGTCCTAGTACGTGAATAAAGGTTTAGGAACGAGTTCGGGGTTGATTGGACGGAGATCGGACATTTGGCGAGAAGCTGAGGAAGTCACACGGGCATGCCTAAAACCCACACGGCCGTGTAAGGGAACCCATGTGGCCGTGTGGAAATTCCAGGGAACTCACACGGGCAGCCTGGAAATCCACACGGCCGTGTGGTTGTGGCCGTGTAGGATGGCTGAAGTCCACTTATCGAAACGTCGCGTTTTGCACAACTCACACGGGCAGCTGGGAAAGCCACAAGGCCGTGTGGCCTGCCCATGTGGTCGGGAATTTTTGGGTTTTAACCCAAATTCGAGCCAAAGGAGAGGGGGTCGACTTTTTGGAGCAAAAATAGAGCCCTAGAGAGAGAAAGTGCGAAAACACCCCCTAGGAGTGGTTTTGGAGCTGGGTTTCATCAATCAAGCTTGAAAATCATCCTTGGAGTGAAGATCATCATCCCAGAGCAGATTCTTCCCATTGTTATGAGTATGACTGCTTTGTATTCTGTTTCCCTCTCTCTCTCTCTCTCTCTCTCTCTCTCTCTCTCTCTATGGAGTAGAACCTTCTCTCACTTGGGTATGAAGAACCCTAGTTCCATGTGTTAGGGATCTTGATTGTAATGACTTGGGATTGTTATATTGTTTGGTTTTAAGCGAATGATGCATGATTCATTGAATCAATTGAAGTATGATCATCTTTTCTTGATTTCTGCTGCAACCTGAGATAGATAGAATCTGATTAGGTTGTTAGAGCTTCATCATTCGGTAGTGGTAGATTGGTTATACGAGAGTTAATCAATCTACTGCTTTGTACTGGAACCCAATTCCAGTAGTGGAGTTATGTGCTTATTGCCTCAGCTTTCTATCCCGGTGAAGACTAGTCGTCTGCCGGGTAGTTGGACTGAGAGGGCTTGGTCAGCTTAAGAGATTCCAAGCTGCTGTTGGATCTTCCATAGTTTAATCAATATTAAATCAACCCAGGGTAATTACAACTGTGACCTAACTAAGGAGCTAGGGGGACTCATTCCCGAGTGACTCTTCCTTTGCTTCAGAAAACCGAACCATTTCCTGTTTTCTTACTACTTTTAGTTAAAACCACAATCAATCGACTTAGTTGGCTAGATAATAGATCTTCACGGAGTAGGCAGTAGATCTAGACCCCGGGTTGATAATTAGAACTTGCCACTTTACTGCATTTCCGGACTGCGATTACACTTGGTCGCAGTTTGGTGTTGTGTTTTAGCGTGTCAAGTTTTTGGCGCCGTTGCCGGGGAACCTCTAGGTTATTGGAGAAACGTGAAAGTTTGTTACTCTAGCTTTTTCTTTACTGCATTTTCTCTCTTCCACCTGTGTGCCTTCACGGGTTGCTTTTGCTGATTGTGTGCAGATAGTGCATGACCCGTAGCCAGTCGGGAGATCTACTACCATTAGACCAGGAGCTTGAATGGACCTGTAGGAACTTCAAGCGGGCTCTAAAGGCGCGACTGGCTGCGGTGGAGGCGCTAGCACAACTGCAAATCGCCGACGAAGAAGAGATAGGTGACCCCCAGAACAATGAAATGGTCATTCCTGAGGAGCAGACCATGGGATACTACCGGACCGCCAGAGCCGCGGACATGAGGTCGGCCATTCAGCACCCTCATGTGCCAGCGAATAACTTTGAGGTGAGCACCTCTGTCATCACCATGTTGCGCGATTCGGTGGTGTTCCGTGGCAAAGAGGGGGAGTGCCCCCGATCACATCTGAGGCGATTCCACGAGCTCATCGATGGAATCAAGATAAATGGGGTCCCAGCCGATGCCATCCAGCTGAGGTACTTCCCATTTACTCTGGAGGGGCAGGCCAAGGAGTGGCTAGACACTCGACCTCCAGGCTCGATCACCACATTCGCTAACCTGGCGGACAAGTTTCTCACTCGCTACCATCCCCCGTCCAAGACGGCGAACCTGCAGAAGCAAATTACCCACTTTGCTCAGGATGAAGATGTGACCATCCGGGATGCTTGGGAGAGATACACCAGTCTCTTCCTAAAGTGTCCCAACCATGTTTTTACTGACGCCTTCAAGGTGGGCACCTTCTACCATGCCCTCTTCCCGGAGGACAAGCAGCTGATTGACTCGGTCTGTGGCGGGAATATGCTCACCAAAACACTGCCACAGCTGAATCAACTCTTTGAAGAGATGGCAGAGCAGGGCTATGACTGGGGAACTGCGAGAAGATCGAGACGAGCACCAGGGCGGGGTGTGCATGCTGTAGCCACCCAGTCATCTGAGTTGGTGCAGGTGGTACCGAAGCTGGTTTCAGCCATCGAACGCTCTGGGATGATTCCAGTGACCGGACAACAGCAAACGATGTACTGCAGTGGTGCGAGAGCACCCATCACACAGTGGAAGAATGCCAGGCGATGAGGGGGTCGACCACACCCCAGGAGCAGGTGAACTTCATCAATAATGTTAGGCGCAATGACCCCTACAGTAACACGTACAACGAGGGGTGGCGCCAGCATCCCAAATTCTCCTGGGCTGGGGCCAATCTTAGACCACCAGCCTCCCAAGGACCGCCAGGCTTCCAGAGGCCGCCATATCAGCCCAGACAGGGGCAATTCCAGCAGCAACAACAGTCTCTCTACTAGCCTATGCATGGGCATGTTGCTCAACCACAGTCGCGACCTTTCCAGCAGCCAGGTGCAGCCCTTACAACCCTTGTGCAGAATGATCATATGGCTGAATTGCGGGACTTGGTAGGTTCTCTTGCCAGTTCAAGTGCTCAGAAATTCAACACTATCAAGCAGTTCATGGAAAAGGCCTCGGGTAAATTTCTGGCTCTTGAAGCTGGCCAGAGGGACACACAGGCTGTCTTGCAGGATATCCAAACCCAGCTGGGGAGTGTGGCTCAAGCAGTGGCGTAGAGGGCTCCAGGTACCTTGCCAGGTCATACCATTCCTAATCCGAAGGACCCAAATGCCCACTGTAATGCCATCACAACAAGGAGCGGCAAAGAGACTGCAGACCCACTTGTCCCGGCCAAACAAGCGCGAGGTAGACCTGCCTCGGCATCTCCAACGGTTGAAGAAGAAGCGGAGAAGGAGGTTGAGGTGCCTGCGCCTAAGCCACAACCAGTAGTGAAGGAGTATATCCCTCAACTCCCCTTCCCTACTCGGTTGCACAAAGACAGGCTAGAAGCAGAGTTTGGAAACTTCATGTCCATGCTTAGGAAGCTGAATGTCCAAGTGCCCTTCCTGGAGGCACTATCTCAAATGCCTAAGTATGCGAAGTTTCTGAAAGATCTTCTCTCAAAGAAGCAGAAGCTGAGCTAGCTGGCCACTGTGGCGCTCAACGAGGAGTGCTCGGCCATTCTGCAGAACAAGCTTCCGCCGAAGCAGAAGGACCCAGGTAGTTTTACTATCCCGTGCTCTATAGGTAAATTGCATGTAGAAAAGTCCTTGGCGGATCTAGGTGTTAGTATCAATGTCATGCCATATAAATTGTTCAATAAACTAGGCCTAGGTGAACCCCGTGCAACTAGGATGAGTCTTCAATCAGCTGACCGATCTATAGTTCACCCTAGGGGCATAGTGGAAGACCTTCTGGTTAAGGTTGGCAGATTCTGATATGCTGTGGATTTTGTTGTCTTGGACATCAATGAGGACACAAAAGTGCCCCTTATACTGGGAAGGCCTTTCCTAGCCACCACCAAGGCTCTCATAGATGTACAAGATGAGACCTTAGTCTTGAGGGATGGCGATGAGCGAATAACCTTTTCCATTGCTAATACTCTCCCTGCTTCATCTCCTTTGCATGCTGTTTCTCACCAGGAGCACGAGTCTGTCGTGTATCCTTCTGTGCTTCCCATTTTGCAGGACCCCTCTCACATATCTTCGCCGCCACTCCCACCCACTCCGTTACCAAAAGACAAGATCAAAGAGGATTGGCGGCCGAAGCTGCAGGTAGCTAAGCCTGCTCGCAAGAAAACTGGAGACCACTATGAGCTGGTCCCGCCTCCTGAGCCTCGTCCGCCTTGGCCATCCTAGTATTCACTCGCTTGCATCCTGCCGGATGGCCAGGTCGAGTTGACGAGTTCTGGTGGCCACATTCGTCGTGTGCATGGCCACCACTTGAAGCTGTACCTCAAGAGCGATGTGGATCCGCTCTTGGAGGCACCTACCCTACTGGCGTCCAGCTAAAAGACGTTAAAGAAGCGCTTGTGGGGAGGCAACCCCACCTAGGTTTGCATTTTCTTTACTTTTTCCTTTTGATTTTTTGTGTTTTTGAGTCTTGAGGTGTTGTCCAAGAGTCGAATGTCGATTTTGCGCGAAAACAGGTCAAATTCGGGGCTATGGAATTCCACACGGCCAGGCCTAAATCCTACACGGCCGTGTGGAATTGGCTTCTGGCCATCTGGAGGCCCTGGAATTTTCACACGGGCAGGAGGGGTCCCCTCACACGGCCGTGTGGTTTTGGCCTTTGGCCGTGTGAAGGCTCGGTGATTTCCACACGGCCAGAATTGCTCCTTCACGCGGCCGTGTGAAATTCCTCGGCCAGGCTGTGTTGACCCACACGGGCGCTATTGCACCTCACACGGCCGTGTGAGCGTGCCCGTTTGGCCGAACCGGCGCCTATAAATTCTGCCGACACGGCCGCGTAGCCAGAAAATCCACAAACCCTCGCCGGAATCCTCTCTCCCTCGCCGAAAAACCGCAATTTTGAAATTTTTTGGGCGATTTTTGGTCGGCTTTTCACCAAAACACCACCCAACCCAATCTTCCCTCATCCTTTTCGGCATTTACCTTGAGTTTGGGGCGATTTGGACCGAATTTGGGTCATCGGATGCGATTTCCGGTGAGACTCCGGCGAGGGTCTGACGAGCATTTCCGGCCAGATTTTGGGGTTTTCGTTGCTTCCATTGCCTTCCCCTCATCATCCCCTACACATCTACTTGTGTGTCCAGATTTGATTTTGCCCTTTACCTTGTGAATTGTGGAGAATCGGGTGTTAGGGTGTATGTTTAGAGAACAACTTTGCAATGTGTGAATTGTGTGCAATTGATTGAGGGAAAGGCTTGGTTTATGTGTGAATTATGTTGGGAAATGTACCCCATGCTTGTTTGAGCCCTTGTGTGCTAGAAATTTGCCAATTCCATGCTTAACTTAATAGTGAACCCAAGGTGTTCGATGAAATGCCAGTTTTTCATACCATTTTGTTGGAGCCGGTTGGGGCCCTTAATGATGTGCTTTGATGGTGTATTTGCTATGGATGTGAACCTTAAGTTTCCTATTTCATTGTGGATGTGCACCCCCACCCAGATTGTGCTTGTTTGATCGAGTTATTGACCCCCGAACTATGGATGAAACCATGGTTCGGCTGTTTTCTGTTCTCAAGTGTGGGGGTGTGATTAACCTTTTCTATGACTCTTTTGGCTCCACTTTGGGTTGTTCTTTTGCATGACCATGACGAAACCCGACCTCAAGCACCCGTTCATCTGGGATTTGAAGAGGGCCCCTGATGACTCGGTATTTGCACATGTTTTCCCCTTTGTTTCTTGATTGTTTGAGCTTGAATTATCGTGTCTTTGGCCTATTTTACGCTAGGTTGTGTTCCTTTGTCACATTTCAGGACCTAGCACATAAAGTGAAGCTTAGGCGCAAGTTTCAAGTCAATCAGAGATCAATTGACGATTCGGGAGAAGAAACTCGGGTATGACCTGAAGAAGAATGGATTTCTACCTCACTTTATGGACAAAGAATCATGCAAGCTTGTCATGAAAAGAAATAGGACGAGACTACGAGCGTCTGGGATCAAACGACGACTGATTCGGTGTCCGGACGAGGGAGAAACGAAGCATTAAACATAGGCTGAGCAAGCCACACGGGCACAACCCACACGGCCGTGTGACCTGGCCATGTGGCCGTGTGGAAATCACCGAGTGATAGACCGTTAATTACACATGTTTTTACCCCTGTTCTTACACCGTTTGAGATGTGATTTCTCGTGGTTTAGACCGATTTCACGCTAGGTTGTGCTTGTTTGTGATGTTTCAGGTCCTAGTACGTGAATGAAGGCTTAGGAGCGAGTCTGGGGTCGATTGGACGAAGAACGGACGAATGGCGAGGTTTTTGGGGAGCTGCACGGGCAGACCAGGGAGGCTGCACGGCCGTGCACGTGAGCAATATGGCCGTGCGCCTTATGCCGAGGACACGCACGGGCAACCCCTGAAGCTCGCACGACCGTGCACCCTGGCCGTGCGAGAGGGCTGAAGTTCGACTAAATGACACGCCGCGTTTTGAGTTGCACGGCCAGAATGGTGATATGCACGGCCATGCACCCTGGCCGTGCGAGTCGGGATTTCCTGGTTTTAAGCCAAATTCCGAACCAAAGAAGAAGAGAGCTGGGTTTTGGATCCCAAACACCCAAGGGACGAACCCTAGAGAGAGAGAGCGACTTGGGAACATTCTTGGAGCTATTTTGGAGGATTTCTTCGCCATTGGAGCTCGGGAAATCAAGCTTGGAGATGGAGATTGAAGATCTAGATCAGATTTCTGCAGTCTCTCTCTTCTCTATGGAGTAACTTCCTTTCACTTAGGTTTTGAGGAACCCTAGTTCCATGAGTTAGGATCTTTCTTGTATGAAGTTTTGGATGCTTTATTGCTTGATTATAATCGAATGATGCATGTTTATTGAGTCAATTGAAGTCTGATCAACTTTTCCTGATTCCTGCTGCAATCTGAGATAGATAGAATCTGATTAGGTTGCTAGAGTCTCATCATTCGGTAGTAGGAGATTGGCTATACGAGAGTTAGCCAGTTTACTGCTTTGTACTGGAATCCAATTCCAGTAGTGGAGTTCTGTGCTTATTGCTTCAGCTTTCTATCCCGGTGAAGACTAGTCGTCTGCCGGATAGTTAGACTGAGAGGGCTTGGTCAGCTTAAGAGATTCCAAGCTACTGTCGGATCTTCCGCAGTTTAATCAACAGTAAATCAACCAAAAAGAATTACAACTTGGACCTGATTGAGGAGCTAGGGGGAATCATACCTAAGTGAGTTCCCAAACTGTAATTAGTAGTTTTACTTAGTTGAGTTAGTAGAGTAGTTTAGTTAATCAACCCTTAATCTAGTTTGCTAGATAATGAACTGAAGCTGAGTAATAGTAACTCTAGAGACCCGTGGATTCGATATTTATTACTTGTGCCACTATACTGCAGTCCCTTTCATTGGTTACACTTGGCCATTGTTAGGTGTTGTGTTTTAGAGCATCACCGAGCCTTCACACGGGCAGCTGGGAAAGCCACACGGCCGTGTGGCCTGGCCGTGTGAGTCGGGAATTGCTGTTTAAAACCCGATTTTCAGCAAAAGGAAAGGGAGAGAGCTGGGTTATGGATCCCAAACACCCAAGGGACGAACCCTAGAGAGAGAGAGCGACTTGGGAACATTCTTGGAGCTATTTTGGAGGATTTCTTCGCCATTGGAGCTCGGGAATCAAACTTGGAGATGGAGATTGAAGATCTAGATCAGATTTCTGCAGTCTCTCTCTTCTCTATGGAGTAACTTCCCTTCACTTAGGTTTTGAGGAACCTTAGTTCCATGAGTTAGGATCTTTCTTGTATGAAGTTTTGGATGCTATATTGTTTGATTATAATCGAATGATGCATGTTTATTGAGTCAATTGAAGTCTGATCAACTTTTCCTGATTCCTGCTGCAATCTGAGATAGATAGAATCTGATTAGGTTGCTAGAGTCTCATCATTCGGTAGTAGGAGATTGGCTATACGAAAGTTAGCTAGTTTACTGCTTTGTACTGGAATCCAATTCCAGTAGTGGAGTTCTGTGCTTATTGCTTCAGCTTTCTATCCCGATGAAGACTAGTCGTCTGCCGGATAGTTAGACTGAGAGGGTTTGGTCAGCTTAAGATATTCCAAGCTACTGTCGGATCTTCCGCAGTTTAATCAATAGTAAATCAACCAAAAGGAATTACAACTTGGACCTAATTGAGGAGCTAGGGGGAATCATACCTAAGTGAGTTCCCAAACTGTAATTAGTAGTTTTACTTAGTTTAGTTAGTAGAGTAGTTTAGTTAATCAATCCTTAATCTAGTTTGCTAGATAATGAACTGAAGCTGAGTAATAGTAACTCTAGAGACCCGTGGATTCGATATTTATTACTTGTGCCACTATACTGCAGTCCCTTTCATTGGTTACACTTGGCCATTGTTAGGTGTTGTGTTTTAGAGCATCAGCCCCCCACCAGGACCGCTTTAAGCCCGTCCTGGCCTGCTCGTTTGGGAAGCATCACTACTGGTCTAGGAGGGAGTTTGAGAAGCTGCACTACTATCAGACCCCTGGGCATATCAAGAACAACCTCATTACCAAGAAGACTTTCTCCCACAACCAGAAGGGCCATCAGAGCTGGAGTTACCCATGGCGGCCTTCACGGGCCACTCTGCAGAGCCATGCTACACTTCACTGGAGGATCCGAACGAACAATTAAGGCTTCTCGTGGAGCAGTTTGCTCGAGACACTGAGAAATCATGCTCCAAGATGGATATTCAAATCAAAGCCCTTGCCACTTCCGATCCCTCATTTCTCCATGTTATGGAGGAGAATGTTCAGCGCTCAGCGAAGCAAACAGAGTGGGTGAAGCAAGTTTGCTCACATCTTGCTCAAGATCACCTTTCTGCTGCCACGCTAGAAGAGGTGGAGGATGACAAAGGCTATGGGAGCGTTGAGGAGCATACAGAAGTTATCACAGAGAACTCCCATGATAACCATGATCAGGAAAGTCCTTTGGTTGCAGACCACACCTTTCCTCATTTATGCTCTAACATGCTGGGCCCGTGCGAGGAGATGCAAGATGATCCCATTGAAGAAATTGCATGGCGACTTGCTCTCCAATCTGTTCTAGAAGAAGAAGAGCGAGCAAGGATGAGGAAGGAAGTTGTGGATGATGAGGAAGAAAGAAAAGAAGAGGTGGTTCTTGATCTTTTCCCAGGGGAGAGACCACATTTTGAAGAAGGAAGGGGGGTTGAGGAAGCAATTGGCGTCCAGGCTGAGGATGAAGTTGAGGTGGAAGAGGCATGCACCGGCCATGAGTTGCAAGTAATATCCCCACTAAACTTTGAGGAACTGCTTGGCAAGGACCCATTTGCAGTGTCTCTTTGCCAGACCAAGGCCACATCGACATCGGTCCCTCTTGGTGGATGCGATGGTGGTCGGTCGATGCTGTCATATCTGGTTTGGGGCAATGAGACGAGAGAAGAGAAGAAGAGGTCTCGAGGGTGGAGAATTCATCTGCATCAAGTACATGAGCCTTCATCACCTGCCACACCACATGCTCGTGACTTGAGACTCCACCTCATCGACGAGAACCTCAACTTCAAGGAGGTTCTAGCATGGACCGAAACTTAGGAGCCATCGTCCGGCTCACGACGTGAAAGAAGCGCTTGTTGGGAGGCAACCCAACCAGTCGGTTTGCATTTCTTTCTCTATTTCTCCTCGGTTGAGTCAGTTTTGTTATTTGATTTTAGAGTCAATAACTCAACCTTTGTGAGATTTTGTGTGGTGTTTGTGTTCTGATTACTCTCTCTTCCTGGAATGCACTGCCTGACCCGTACATCATCATTCACCCTTGATCTGGTAACTTCGTTCTACCCTCCTTATCTTTCCTCCATTGAGGACAATGTCGTGCTTAAGTGTGTGGGGGGGGGGGGGGGTTCTATTATGTATGCGGGTGAATGTTTGGCTGTTTGTGTGCTTGGAGCCTAGTTCACTGTCCAAATTTTTAAATTTGAGGGCTCCAAGTATGTGTTTCCTTGCAAATTGCCTGCTCAGATGCTTTGAATTGACAGTCTCTATAGTAATGTGCAACCTAGGGAGGTAGTGTAGCACTATGGAGGATTTTGAAGTATAAGAGTTTTCCTATCTAGCTCTCTGTTGTGCTAGTTGATTTTGTGAATTAGTGGAGCTAAGACCGTTGAATTCATGTGGTAATGGTGACTCTGTTTGGATTATGTTATGGACTCGTGTATCGAACAGGGTGCTCATATGGAAAATGGGAAGCAGTTGGTCCTCCATGTCAAAATCATTAAATCTTAAACATGGGGTAAGCCCAACGTGTGCGGCACCGTTCATTGCACAAAAATCGGGTTTTGGAAGAGATTTTAGTGATCCTTAGTGGGGTACTCCTACAAGGGGAAGCTAAGTTGTCTCTAGTACAAGTAAAACTTCCACCCGTTGAACGGTTTGCCTACTTGAGGATGTGTTTTTAAGGGCACGGATAGAGCTTCCGACCCCCCTTAATTTCATTGACCCTCCACACGAGTTGAGGAAAAGGAGTTAAAAGAAGTACTCTGGCGAGCTCCAGATGTACAGAAATTGCTCTTGCTCGACTAATAAGGGTCGACCGTGCAAAACACTGCAGTTGGAACCCCACTAAATGAAAGAAAAAATGTAAATGAAAGTGAGAAAAAGGGGTTCCAACGGTGAAATGAAGTGAAAGAGCACCCCGGTACAACAAATCCTTGGTTGTGAATGGTGTGAGTCCCTTTATCCATGAACTGACTGTCTTACTTCTACTTTTTCTCATGATCCTGGCTTGAGTCTAGTACTCGCATTGAGAGAGATAGGGAACGTCTTAGAAGACCAGTTGACCTCGTAAGCTGCTATATGATCTAGGAAATCCTCTACTGACGATCGGGGTTGTATGTTGCTATAGAGCTCTGGAGAGCTGCATTGGTTTGAGTTAGGTTTGCTTGGGGACAAGCAAACAGTTAAGTGTGGGGGGATTTGATGACTCGGTATTTGCACATGTTTTCCCCTTTGTTTCTTGATTGTTTGAGCTTGAATTATCGTGTCTTTGGCCTATTTTACGCTAGGTTGTGTTCCTTTGTCACATTTTAGGTCCTAGCACATAAAGTGAAGCATAGGCGCAAGTTTCAAGTCAATTAGAGATCAATTGACGATTCGGGAGAAGAAACTCGGGTATGACCTGAAGAAGAATGGATTTCTACCTCACTTTATGGACAAAGAATCATGCAAGCTTGTCATGAAAAGAAAGAGGACGATACTACGAGCGTCTGGGATCAAACGACGACTGATTCGGTGTCCGGACGAGGGAGAAACGAAGCATTAAACAGAGGCTGAGCAAGCCACACGGGCACAACCCACACGGCCGTGTGACCTGGCCATGTGGCCGTGTGGAAATCACCGAGCCTTCACACGGGCAGCTGGGAAAGCCAATCGGCCGTGTGGCCTGGCCGTGTGAGTCGGGAATTGTTGTTTAAAACCCGATTTTCAGCAAAAGGAAAGGAAGAGAGCTGGGTTTTGGATCCCAAACACCCAAGGGACAAATCCTAGAGAGAGAGAGCGACTTGGGAACATTCTTGGAGCTATTTTGGAGGATTTCTTCGCCATTGGAGCTCGGGAATCAAACTTGGAGATGGAGATTGAAGATCTAGATCAGATTTCTGCAGTCTCTCTCTTCTCTTTGGAGTAACTTCCCTTCACTTAGGTTTTGAGGAACCTTAGTTCCATGAGTTAGGATCTTTCTTGTATGAAGTTTTGGATGCTATATTGTTTGATTATAATCGAATGATGCATGTTTATTGAGTCAATTGAAGTCTGATCAACTTTTCCTGATTCCTGCTGCAATCTGAGATAGATAGAATCTGATTAGGTTGCTAGAGTCTCATCATTCGGAAGTAGGAGATTGGCTATACGAGAGTTAGCTAGTTTACTGCTTTGTACTGGAATCCAATTCCAGTAGTGGAGTTCTGTGCTTATTGCTTCAGCTTTCTATCCCGATGAAGACTAGTCGTCTGCCGGATAGTTAGACTGAGAGGGTTTGGTCAGCTTAAGAGATTCCAAGCTACTGTCGGATTTTCCGCAGTTTAATCAACAGTAAATCAACCAAAAGGAATTACAACTTGGACCTAATTGAGGAGCTAGGGGGAATCATACCTAAGTGAGTTCCCAAACTGTAATTAGTAGTTTTACTTAGTTTAGTTAGTAGAGTAGTTTAGTTAATCAATCCTTAATCTAGTTTGCTAGATAATGAACTGAAGCTGAGTAATAGTAACTCTAGAGACCCGTGGATTCGATATTTATTACTTGTGCCACTATACTGCAGTCCCTTTCATTGGTTACACTTGGCCATTGTTAGGTGTTGTGTTTTAGAGCATCAGCCCCCCCACTAGGACCGCTTTAAGCGCGTCCTGGCCTGCTCGTTTGGGAAGCATCACTACTGGTCTAGGAGGGAGTTTGAGAAGCTGCACTGCTATGACCACTTCCTCGCCATCGCCACCAACCGCCCCTGGCGCCGTTTGCTGTCCATTCAGGAGAAGGTCTACCACGAGCTCGTGCTGGAGTTCTATACGACCTTTAAGCACGAAGATACAGAGGACTGGACGGACAGTGAAGCTGTCAAGTTCAGGCTCGACGGTGCGCCTCGCTCCATGAGCTACCACGACTTGGCATTCGTTCTCGACCTCGGACTGGACGATGATGTGGACTACGTCTCCGAGCTCAATGATCCACTGGGTGTTAACTTCAAGACGCTGTACACCCGCCTAGCTCAGCCCAGCCAGCATCCCTTCGTTGCAGGGCGGATGAAGGCCAGCACCCTGCAACTCGATAACCGCATTCTCCACCACTTGTTCGCGAAGTCCTACACTCCAGCTGCGGAAAGTGCGAGCACCTTCACCAAGAGATCCATGTACTTCATCCAGTCCATCCGCCAGGCGGACCATCCTCTCCACCTGGGTTCTGTGGTGGCTAGAACTTTTGACAAGAGTGCTTCAGAACTGCACTCCCCTCATCACCCGTCTAGCCACCTACCTCCAGATCCCACTGTAGGGTTGCACAGAGCAGGGGGGCACTAGTGTCTTTGGTGAAGACACGATCAAGAGTATGCACCTGCTGCGAGTCGAGCGCGACATCAAGTGGATCGCGGAGTTTCCTGAACCTCAGATCCCCGCGGAGGACCAGCCCGATGCTCCTGAGGATGAGGCTGCTGAGGATGTCCACCCCGAGGATGTGGACGATGCTGATGCCCCCGCCCGACCACCTTCGAGTATGGGGGTAGCAGTTCCACCTTCCCAGCCCAAGACTACTTCACTCACCAGTTCCAGCAGCTGAGTCTCCAGAATTAGCAACTCCTCGACCATCAGCTCCAGTTCCAGCAACAGTACTCGGCTCACCAGGCCAAGTATCAGACCCGGATGTCTGCCTATGATGAGCGCCTGGACCGTATGGAGAACCAGCAGAGGGTGACTCTAGCTCACATCGAGCGGGAGAAGGCCCAATCTCGGTGTATGCAGGAGGTCCAGCAGCACCTGCTCTAGCTGATACTGGGCGAGCAGCCAGTCTGGAGGACTCCTTGGGAGGACTCTCCCCTTCCACCCCCGGCCGCAGGAGATGATGCCTTCATGGACGACATCGACTTTGACAACCTTGGCGATGAGTAGTCTGTACTTGTCACCCCTGGTTTTAGACTTTTCGTGTTTGCTCCATGTGTGTGCGGAGCTTAAACTGAGTCTGTCGTTTGTTTTTGTACTTTTTGCTTTTTTTTTTGTGGATTGTCTATTGTGTGGCCATCTGGGCTAACTCTGATCCCTAACGCACAGTGTGCTAGTGTGTTCTTGATGTTCCCTTCGTGCAGAACTGTTCCGTTCGTTCCACTTCCAGTCTCCCGACAGTATTTCAATCCGGTAACATCGTTCCCCTTATCTCTCCCTCTACTCCATTGAGGGCAATGTCGTGCTTAAGTATTGGGGGATGCTTTGCATCGGTTGGAATCTATATATGAGTGCTTGGAGCCTAGTCCGCTGTCCAAATCTCGAGATTTGAGGGCTCCAAGTATCGCTGTTTGCATGATCATATTGGCACTATGATTTGTTTGGTGAATGGAATGATTTTTGGATTAATGCATGATAGCTTGATTGTAACGAGGACAACCTATGATGATGACTGAGACGTGCAGTAGAATTGTGTAGGGTTCAGTTTTTCAACTGTTTGCTTACCAACTGTGACTTGGATTGATCACTTGTTCTTGACAATCGTTTATGCATCTAGTTCAGGGAATCAGAATGAGAGATAGAGCATATAGGTAGCCATGTGAGATGTGAGCCTGCTCGTTTCTTTCTTGTGCGATAGATCCCTCTTCCATGATGTGTAGCATTCACGTTGTCATTAGCTAAGATGATGGAGGCATAGGATTAGCCCACGACCAAATTGACTGTCCTAGTGTGTCATGCCCCCTAGTCAGCCCATTTGAGCCGTGTGTCATCCTTTCTTTTCGGTCTACAATGAAAAATCACCCTTTTGCATCTCTTAGAAGGTTCCACAGAGTGGTTTTTACATGTTCTCTGCTGTTTCTGCTAAATATAATGTGAGGGTTGGACGTTGTTCTTAAAAAATTTGGGCATGTGTTTGAAAAAATGTGCATAGGTGGTGGTTCTCTCAAGAAATGAAAAAAAAAGAAAAGAAAAAAATGAATGAAAGCAAAAGAGAGCCACCACCAAAAATCTGAATTAGTGGCCATTAAGCAGTGTTTCTTAGCAGTCTGGCTTGAAAATACTAACTTTTATGTGACCTCCTTCGCTCTTGTGCTCTAAGTAATTTGAGTAATGCAGAATAGCAGAAAGAAAGTTATTGGTTTGATTGACTGTGATTGTGTTGGGTTTGGAACTGTGGAACCTTGTGCTATGAATCCTTCCACCACCTAAAATGCATTTTCCCCATGTACAAGACCCTAGCCAGTCATTTGAACTTGTGTCTAAGACCTCCGGATTAGTTAGTGATGACACCCATTTTTGTGAACTCTAACATTTAGAGGTTGCCGTCATGGTGAAGAGACTTTAGGGATTGAGAGAATAAGCATGCGCATTTTTCGCATAAAATTATCCTGACCCCACTGGTCGAGAGTGAGCGATTCATTTTCTCTTATTCTCTATACTCTTGTACCCCGGGGAAGACCTAGATTGCTCGGTCTCAATTCTGATATCTTGAGTTTTGGGCATGAGGTCACTATCTTGAGTAAGTGGTTGAGTCAAGTCTATGTTGGTTGATGAACAAAAGGGAGACTCCTCCTTTACTCGATTTTGCTCCACTCGAATGTCCTCTGTGGTGGTTGTCTAGGTTGCTATTGAAGTTGTTCATGTGTTGATGTTTGAAAGCAAGTACGATTCACGTGTTTTGTGCCTATATGAGTTGTTCCCAATGTTGGTATGATTGAATTATGCTGAGCTTACCTTGTATCGACTTGGTTTGCTTGGGGACAAGCAAACGGTTAAGTGTGGGGGAATTTGATGACTTGATATATACACATGTTTTTGTCCACCATTCTTATATCGTTTGAGTCTTATCTCTCGTGTTTTAGGCCAATTTCACGCTAGGGTGTTCTTGTTTGTGATATTTCAGGTCCTAGTACGTGAATGAAGGTTTTGGAACGAGTTCGGGGTCGATTGGACGGAGATCGGACATTTGGCGAGAAGCTGAGGAAGTCACACAGCCATGCCTAAAACCCACACGGCCGTGTAAGGGAACCCATGTGGCCGTGTGGAAATTCCAGGGAACTCACACGGGCAGCCTGGAAATCCACACGGTCGTGTGGTTGTGGCCGTGTAGGATGGCTGAAGTCCACTTATCGAAACGCCGCGTTTTGCACAACTCATACGGGTAGCTGGGAAAGCCACACGGCCGTGTGGCCTGCCCGTGTGGTCGGGAATTTCTGGGTTTTAACCCAAATTCGAGCCAAAGGAGAGGGGGTCGACTTTTTGGAGTAAAAACAGAGCCCTAGAGAGAGAAAATGCGAAGAACACCCCCTAGGAGTGGTTTTGGAGCTCGATTTCATCAATCAAGCTTGGAAATCATCCTTGGAGTGAAGATCATCATCCCAGAGCAGATTCTTCCCGTTGTTATGAGTATGACTGCTTTGTATTCTGTTTCCCTCTCTCTCTCTATGGAGTAGAACCTTCTCTCACTTGGGTATGAAGAACCCTAGTTCCATGTGTTAGGGATCTTGATTGTAATGACTTGGGATTGTTATACTGTTTGGTTTTAATCGAATGATGCATGATTCATTGAATCAATTGAAGTCTGATCATCTTTTCTTGATTTCTACTGCAACCTGAGATAGATAGAATCTGATTAGGTTGTTAGAGCTTCATCATTCGGTAGTGGTAGATTGGTTATACGAGAGTTAATCAATCTACTGCTTTGTACTGGAACCCAATTCCAGTAGTGGAGTTATGTGCTTATTGCCTCAGCTTTCTATCCCGGTGAAGACTAGTCGTCTGCCGGGTAGTTGGACTGAGAGGGCTTGGTCAGCTTAAGAGATTCCAAGCTGCTGTCGGATCTTCCGCAGTTTAATCAACAGTAAATCAACCCAGGGTAATTACAACTGTGACCTAACTAAGGAGCTAGGGGGACTCATTCCCGAGTGACTCTTCCTTTGCTTCAGAAAACCGAACCATTTCCTGTTTTCTTACTGCTTTTAGTTAAAACCACAATCAATCGACTTAGTTGGCTAGATAATAGATATTCACGGAGTAGGCAGTAGATCTAGACCCCGGGTTGATAATTAGAACTTGCCACTTTATTGCATTTCCGGACTGCGATTACACTTGGTCGCAGTTTGATGTTGTGTTTTAGCGGGTCAGGGAGTCTAGTTCAGAATGCCTTGATCGGTTGTTCTAGAGAAGGATACGTCCCTCTAAGCAATTGACTCAAGAGGGCCTTGTTCCTTTAGTCGAGACTCAAGGTCTAGTTAAGGATTCTCCGCATTGTGAATGAAAGTGAAACAGGTTAGAGATCATCAATCATTAGTCTGGCCAGTGGCTAGGGGGAATCATACCTAAGTGAGTTCCCAACCTGTAATTAGATTAACTTTAACTGTAGTTTGTTAGAGTTGTTTTAGTTCTTCCATCTTAATCTGGTTTGCTAGATAATGAACAGACGCTGAGTAATAGTAACTCTAGAGACCTGTGGATTCGATATTTATTACTTGAGCCACTATACTGCAGTCCCTTTCATTGGTTACACTTGGCCATTGTTAGGAGTTGTGTCATAGCGAGTCAAGTTTTTGGCGCCGTTGCCGGGGACTTTCTAGATTATTAGGAAAGGCAGAAGTTTGTTACTTTAGCATTTTTCTTTTCTTTTCCACCCTTGCTTTTCACTTGGGTGTTTTTGTTTTTGTTGGTGCAGATCTGAATCATGGATCCTCATGGCTTCTCCAACCATTGGGGGTATCCACCACCATCCAAGTGGTGTTACCCCGAGACTCCCTGGAGCATTCAAGGAGGAGAAGACTATGGATTTGGGTTCCAGTACCAACACCCTTACTACAGAGAACAATCAGACCCCTGGGCATATCAAGAACAACCTCATTACCAAGAAGACTTTCTCTCACGACCAGAATTGCCATTGGAGCTGGAGTTACCCATGGTGGACTTCACGGGCCATTCTGCAGAGCCATGCTACACTCAACAGCCAGATCCAAAATATGAATTGAGGCTTCTCATGGAGCAGTTTGCTCGAGACAGTGAGAGATCATGGTCCAGGATGGATCTTTGTACCCAGGCCTATCGTGAAACAGAGGAGATCCTCCTGAGCATTAAGAAGAGCATCGATAATCTTGAGCGATCTTATGCACAACCTGATCCAGATCACCCTTCTGCTACCATACTAGAAGACGAGGAGGAAGAAGAAGGCTACAAGGACATTGTGGAGCACACTGAAGTTGTCACGGAGAGCTCCCGTGATGATCATGATCAGGAATGTACTATCGTAGCCGACCACACCTTCCCACATCCCACACTGAGCTTTGAAGAGGTGGGCATGAGTGAGGAGATGCAAGAAGATCTCATGAAAGAAATTGCTTGGCAACTTGCTCTCCTATCCGTGCTAGAAGAAGAAGAGCGAGAAAGGGTGCATAAAGAAGTTCTGGAGGATGAAGAAAGTGAAGCAGAAGGAGTTCTTGATCATTTCCCAGGGGTGATACCACATGAAGAAGGAAGGGAGGTTGAAGAAGCAATTGGCGTCCAGGCCGAGGACGAAGTTGAGGTGGAAGAGGCTTGCACCGGCCATGAGTTACATGTGACATCTCCACCAAACTTTGAGGAACTACTTAGCAAGGACCCATTTGCAGTGTCTCTTTGCCAGACCACGGCCACATCGACATCGGTCCCTCTTGGTGGACGCGATGGTGGTCGTTGTCATATCTGGTTTGGGGAAATGAGACGAAAGAAGAGAAAAAGAGGTCTCGAGGGTGGAGACTTCATCTGCATCAAGTGCATGAGCTTCCATCACCTGTCATACCACATGCTCGTGACTTGAGACTCCACCTCATTGACGAGAACCTCAACTTCAAGGAGGTTTTGGGGTGGACCGAAACTTAGGAGCCATCGTCCGGCTCACGACGAGAAAGAAGCGCTTGTTGGGAGGCAACCCAACGAGTCGGTTTGCATTTCTTTCTCTTTTTCTCCTCGGTTGAGTCAGTTTTGTTATTTGATTTTAGAGTCAATAGCTCAACCTTTGTGAGATTTTGTGTGGTGTTTGTGTTCCGACTACTCTCTCCTCCTGGAATACACCGCCTGCCCCGTCCACCATCATTCACCCTTGATCTGGTAACTTCGTTCTACCCTCCTTATCTTTCCTCCATTGAGGACAATGTCGTGCTTAAGTGTGGGGGGATGTTCGATTATGTATGCGGGTGAATGTTTGACTGTTTGTGTGATGGGAGCCTAGTCCACTGTCCAAATTTTTAAGTTTGAGCGCTCCAAGTACGTGTTTCCTTGCAAATTGCCTGCTCAGTATGCTTTGAATTGACAGTCTCTATAGTAATGTGCAACCTAGGGAGGTAGTGTAGTACTATGGAGGATGTTGAAGTATAAGATTTTTCCTATCTAGCTCTCTGCTGTGCCAGTTGATTTTATGAATTAGTGGAGCTAAGACCGTTGAATTCATGTGGTAATGGTGACTCTGATTGGATTGTGTTATGGACTCGTGTATCGAACAGGGTACTCATGTGGGAAATGAAAAGCAATTGGTCCTCCATGTCGAAATCATCAAAATCTTAAACATGGGGTAAGCCCAACGTGTGTGGCACCGTTCATTGCACAAAATCGGGTTTTGGAAGAGATCTTAGTGATCCTTAGTGGGGTACTCCTACAAGGTGAAGCTAAGTTGTCTCTAGTACAAGTACAATTTTCACCCGTTGAACGGTTTGTCTACTTGAGGATGCGTTTTTAAGGGCACGGATAGGGCTTCCGACCCCCCTTAATTTCATTGACCCTCCACACGAGTTGAAGAAAAGGAGTTAAAAGAAGTACTCTGGCGAGCGCCTGATGTACATAAATTGCTCTTGCTCAACTAATAAGGGTCGACCGTGCAAAAGACTGTAGTTGGAACCCCCGCCAAGTGAATGAAGAAAAAAAAAGAAAAAAAAATGTAAATGAAAGTGCAAAAAAAAGGGAGCTCCAACGGTGAAATGAAGTGAAAGAGCACCCCGGTACAACGAGTCCTCGGTTGTGAATGGTGTGAGTCCCTTTATCCATGAACATACTGTCTTACTTCTACTTCTTCTCATGATCCTGGCTTGAGTCTAGTACTCACAATGAGAGAGATAGGGGACGTCTTAGAAGACCAGTTGACCTCGTAAGTTGCTATATGATCTAGAAAATCCTCTACCGACGATCGGGGTTGGTTGTTGCTATAGAGGTCTGGAGAATTGCATTGGTTTGAGTTAGGTTTGCTTGGGGACAAGCAAACGGTTAAGTGTGGGGAGTTTGATAGACCATTGATTGCACATGTTTTTACCCCTATTCTTGAGTCGTTTGAGATGTTGCTTCTCGTGTTTTAAGCCGAATTCACGCTAGGTTGTGTGTTTATGTCATATTTCAGGGCCTGGCATTGGCATCGAGGCGAAGAAACGAGTTTCGGGTCGAAAGGAGCACGTTTGAGTTGAAGTGTGTTGGAGGAGCAAAATTCCCGGCCATGAGCAGAAATACCCGGCCGGGTATTAATCGGAGCAGACCGGGGAAAATCTCTTTTGGGCGTTTGAGAAGCAGAATGTGGCCCGGGCATCAAGCATAAATCCCCGGTCGGGTATTTTTGACCTTGACCGGGGATTAACCCCCTGTCTCCGACGGTGCGTTTCAACAATTCCCGGTCGCCACCCAAAATACTCGACCGGGAACGCAGGCTGTTAAAAGCCTGTTTTGTGCGTTTTTGCAAGGGAGAGCTGGGTTTTGGATCCCAAACACCCAAGGGACGAACCAAAGAGAGAGAGAGGCGATTTGAGGGCAATCTTGGAGTGGAATTGGAGGATTTCTTCCCCTTGGAAGCTCGAGGAACAAGCCTGTACTTGAAGACTGATCATCTGAAGATTCTTACTGCAGTCTCTCTCTTTTCTATAGAGTAACTTCCCTTCACTTAGGTTTTGAGGAACCCTAGCTATGTTTGTTTGATTGGATGATTGTATGAGTACTCCTACTTGATAATCTTGAGTTCATATTCAATCTATGCATGTTTTCATGATTCAATTCTGCTTTAGTCGAGATTATTGATTCTGCTTTGATCCTATGAGAGCGAATACCCGATTAGGTCAATAGAGCACCATAGATTGATAGTATTGGATCAACTGCTTTAGTCGAGGGTCGATTCACTGCTTTGTATCGATTGAGAACCTCATTCGATAGAGGGAGTCTAGTTCAGAATGCCTTGATCGGTTTTTCTAGAGAAGGATACGTCCCTCTAGGCAATTGACTCAAGAGGGCCTTGTTCCTTTAGTCGAGACTCAAGGTCTAGTTAAGGATTCTACGCATTGTGAATGAAAGTGAAACATGTTAGAGATCATCAATAATTAATCTGGCTAGTGGCTAGGGGGAATCATACCTAAGTGAGTTCCCAACCTGTAATTAGATTAACTTTAACTGTAGTTTGTTAGAGTAGTTTTAGTTCTTCCATCTTAATCTGGTTTGCTAGATAATGAACTGATGCTGAGTAATAGTAACTCTAGAGACCCGTGGATTCGATATTTATTACTTGAGCCACTATACTGCAGTCCCTTTCATTGGTTACACTTGGCCATTGTTAGGAGTTGTGTCATAGCGAGTTGATAACGATGTAATTGCACATATTTGCGCCCCTAGTTCTTATCCGTTTGAGGGGCATAGTCGTGTATTGTGGCCTATTTTACGCTGGGTTGTGCTATTTTGTCATGTTTCAGGTCCCAGGTGTCAAAGGGAAGGCTAAGCGCGAGTTTCGGGGCATTCGGAAGTCATTTCGGTGAGCTGGAGCCAAAACACGGGCACACCTAAATCATTACACGGCCGTGTTCTGGTGGCCGTGCTTTTTATGCCGAGAGCTGAGCTGATTACACGGGCAGGGCCAAAACAAAGCACGGGCGTGTTCAAGCATTACACGGCCGTGTCCAAAGCGAAGCACGGCCGTGTTTCTCCCCACTGCTGCTAGTGTAATTAACACTAGCCAAAGCACGGGCGGGCTGAGGCATTACACGGCCGTGCCCTCGACCGTGCTTTGGCTGATGCCTTTTTAAGCAGATTTTCAGCCAAACAGAAGGGGGATTCGAGTTTTTGAGAGAGAGATCAGTTCCTAGAGAGAGAAAGTGACGAGCAAGAGTTCCCAAGTGCCCTAGATTGATCTTCAACACCATTGGAGGCCAGCTTGAGCTTGGAGAAGTGCCAATCAACGTCCAGAAGCAGGAATCCATCCTTCGCAGTATGAATTCCGTGTCTGAATCTGCTTTTGCTTTCTTCTCCATGGAGTAGTTCTCCCATTCATCTGGGTATGGAGAACCCTAGATTTGTATGTTAGGCTTTGATTGTATGAACCCAAGTACTGATTCTGTGATTGATTATATTCGATTGAGGTTTTAATGATTGAATGACTTGAATCCTGATCAAATTCCTGTTGTTTCTGCTTTAACCTAGAATGAGAATATCTGCCTAGGTTAATAGAGTATCCTTGATTGAAGGTAGGGAGTTGGTGACTTTAGTCGAGGAGCCAACTCACTATTCTGTACCGGGTTTACTCCGGTAGTGGAGGTTTTGTTCTTAGGGCCTCAATCTGTCGACTCTGGTGGAGGTTAGTCGCCCGCTAGAGAGTCAGATTGAGAGGGTCTGAAGACCTTTAGTCGAGACTTCAGGCTGTTTAAGAACCTTCCGCAGTATAACTGTCATAGAAACTGAACTTGGTAATTACAATCCGGCTTAACTGCAGTCTAGGGGGAACCATATCCGGGTGACCTCTTTAACCTGAATACAACAGTTTACTTGCTTTGTTTGTTTGGTAGTTTAGACTTGCATGCCAATTTCATTGCTAGATAACAAGAATTCACTGAGTAGTCATCAGATCTAGGACCCGGGTTGACATATAAACCTAACCCGCTATACTACGCTTTAGGAAGTGGTTTCACTTGGCCAATTCCTGGAGTGACAGTAGAGTCGAGTCAAGTTTTTGGCGCCGTTGCCGGGGACGGCTAGGTTGTTGAAGAAAAGTGATTTCTGTTAATTTAGCTTTTCTTTTTGCTTTGTTTGCTTTGTCCCACTTGTGCCTTCACGGGTTTGCTTGCTTGAGTGTGTGCAGGTAGTGCATGACCCGTAGCCAGTCGGGAGGTTTACTGCCGTTGAATCCAGAGATTGACCGCACCTGTCGCCAGCTCAGGAGACAACAGCGAGCTAGACTGGCTACGGAAGAGCGCATAGACGGCCACCTGAGCAGCGATTCTGAAGAGGAGCACGGAATGGACGGAGACTACAATCAGCACCAGGGGAATCCACAGCAGGTTCCCCCGGTGAATCAGGTCCTGGGGAACAACCCCATACCCCAGGATCATGGAGTTCATCATCCACCGCAGCCGGGTCCCACCTTGGAGTACTACTACACTCCGCGGATTGCTGACATCCGCCCGGTCATCCTCTACCCGCCGATCCCAGCAAACAACTTCGAGATCAAGCCATGATGGATTCAGCTCATCACATCCTCGATCCAGTTTCATGGCTTGAAGGATGAGGAGGCCAGGGTACATCTGTCCCGTTTTCTGCAGCTGACAAACGGGTTCAAGCTGAACGGTGTTCCCGATGATGCGATCCGCCTTCATCTCTTCCCCCATTCTCTGGCGGGAAATGCTAAGAGGTGGTTGGAGACCCAGCCCCCATTGTCCATCACCTCTTGGGACGATCTGGCGGACAAGTTCGTGCACAGGTACTATCCGGCATCGAAGACTACAGAGATTCAGCGGGAGATCACTCACTTCCGCCAGGAGCCAGATGAGTCACTCCGTGATGCTTGGGAGCGGTACATGGGCTACTTCTGGCAGTGCCCCCACCATGGCTTTAGTGATGCTTTCACTGTGGGGAACTTCTACAACACTCTCTCCCCAGATAGCCAGAGGGTGATTGAGTCTTTATGCCCAGGAGGGGATATTCTCACCAAGACTCCACCCGAGCTGAATCAGATGATTAATACATTGGCTGCCAGAGATCATTCTTGGGGGCAGAGCAGCAGAGGCAGACATTCCAGGGATCGTGGTGTGCACGCCATGGAGTCCAGATCCGGACTCGAGCAGCAGGTAGCTGAACTGGTGCAGACATTGAAGCAGCCCAACAGTCTTCTTCCGGGCAGAGGTTTGGCTACACCTCCAGTAGCTCAATGTCAGTGGTGTGAGAGCTCCAATCACCTAGTGGAGGACTGCCAGGCTATGAGGGAGTCTACCACACCCCAGGAGCAGTTGGCCTTCATTGCCAATGCGAGACGCCTCGATCCTTACAGCAGCACATATAATGAGGGGTGGCGCCAGCATCCCAACTTCGCCTGGAGCAGCAACACCACCAAACCATCTGGTTTCCCAGCACCAGCAGGTGGTTTTCAGCAGAGGCAGCCCTACCAGGCTCGACAGGGGCTAGTTCCACAGCAGCCATTCCAACAGCCCCAGCGCCAGTTTGCCGAGCCAGCAGCAGCTCCAGCCCCAGATGACAGGATGACGAAGCTGGAAAACATTCTAGCTTCATTCATGACGAGCACTCAGGCGACTATCACGAGGTTGGACCAGAGTGTAGCCTCACTAGAGGCAGGTCAGAGGAACCAGGGTGCCATTTTGCAGGATCTGCAGACCCAGGTGGGCATCTTGGCCCGCCAGAACACTACCAGGGCACCGGGGACTTTGCCTGCCACCACTGTCCCGAATCCTCGAGATCCTCATCAGCATCAGCAGCTGGATGCCATTTTTACCAGGAGCGGTAAGGTGATATCTGCTGATCCTGTCCCGGCCAGACAGGAGGAACCACTGCCTGCTCCAGCACTTCCAGCCGACGATGCAGAAGTGCGGGTGGAGAAGGAAGCCCCTGCTCCCAAGCCACAACCAGTGGTTAAGGAGCATGTACCCCAGCTTCCCTTCCCCACTCGCCTACACAAGGACAAGCTGGAGACTGAGTTTGCCAAGTTCATGGCAATGTTGAAGCAGCTCAACATCAGCATACCGTTCATGGAGGCACTGTCGAAGATGCCCAAGTATGCCAAGTTCATGAAAGATATCTGCACCAACAAGAAGAAACTTGGGGATCTCTCGACAGTGATGCTGAGTGAGGAGTGTTCTGCTATCCTGCAGAACAAGCTGCCCGAGAAGCGCAAGGATCCAGGGAGTTTTACTATCCCTCTTACTATTGGCAGCATGCATGTAGGCAAGTCCTTGGCGGACCTAGGTGCTAGCATAAACGTCATGCCATATAAGTTGTTTAAGAAGCTAGACTTAGGTGAATTTAGCCCTACTAGGATGAGCATTCAGCTCGCTGACCGTTCCATTGTGCATCCTAGGGGTGTTATAGAGGATCTGCTTGTTCATGTTGGTTCATTCACATATCCTATTGATTTTGTTATTCTGGATGTAAATGAGGATGTGGATGTACCTTTGATTCTAGGTAGGCCATTTCTTGCCACCGCCAAGGCACTTATTGATGTGCATGAAGGAAAACTGATCTTGCATGCTGGGAATGAACAAGCTACTTTTTCTGTGACTGAGTTTGATCACTGTGCTATGATTGATGTCACGCCTGTGCATGCTATGTCTGATCAGGTACACGAGCCTGTCGTGTATCCTGCTGCTCCTCTCATTTTGCAGGACCCTCCTATCAGTCCTTCGCCGCCACTCCATCCAGCCACGCCTCCGAACAAAAAGCTTAAGGAGGAGTGGCGGCCGAAGCAGCAGGTTGCTAAGCCTGCACGGAAGAAGAGTGGAGACCACTATGAGCTGGTCCCACCTCCTGCACCACGACCACCCTGGCCGTCTGGGTACTCGCTCTCCTGCATCTTGCCAGATGGGCAGGTCGAGCTGACTGATGAGGGTGGTCGCATCCGTCGGGTGCATGGCCACAACCTGAAGCTGTACCTCAAGAGCGACGTGGATCCGCTCTTGGAGGCACCTGTTCCTGCACCGCCCTGAGTATCCACCATGGGCGTCCAGCTAATACGACGGTAAAGAAGCGCTTGTGGGGAGGCAACCCCACCTCGGTTTGATTTTTTTTTCTTGTGTTTTGCGTCGGATTGTAACCCGGTTTGGGTTTGGTTTGTTTTATTTTGGTTTGGATGATATTTTATTGGGCTGACCATTGAACCTAACATACTGTGTTTGAGCTCTTCTGTTCCCCTTTGGCTGTGCTTGCCCCGACTGGCCCGTTTCCAGTCCCCTGCAGTCCGTGCATACCGGTAACATCGTTCCCCTTATCCTTCCCTCTTCTCCATTGAGGGCAATGTCGAGCTTAAGTGTGGGGGGATGTTTATCTTTCGACTGCATTAGATATGTTTGTGTGCTTGGAGCCTAGTCCACTGTCCAAATTTTTAAAATTTGAGGGCTCCAAGTACGTGTTTCCTTGCAATTGCCTGCTCAGTATGCTTTGAATTGACAGTCTTTATAGTGATATGCAACCTAGGGAGGTAGTGTAGCACTATGGAGGATGTTGATGCATTTAAGCAGTCTCGTTTCTTCTTCATATTGTGTTGGTTGATTGAGTGAATTAGTGATCTTAGGACCCTTGAATTGTGTGGTGTTGTGGATTCTCTGCCTGTCATGGACTCTTGTGTCATGTTTTGAGTTTAACAGGTGCTCGAAAATGTGCTTGAAAATAAACGTCTCCCGTGCGAATAGGGCGAAAGTGTGTAAGGGGAGACGGGAATTCGTTCCCAATTTCCATCTACTACCTCCAGCCCCCTTACATGTCTTTCCCCCGCACGAGGCTCGAGACATCCGCTCCTGGCATGGCCGGTAAGAGCAGGTTGGGACCCTTGAAAAGAAAAAAAGAAAAGAAAAATAACAGAAAACAAGCAAAACAGAAAAAAAGAGGTTCCAACCATCTTCAAAGAAAATCGAGCACCTTGAAAAATGTGAGTCCATGATCCTTTGTTTTTGAGAATCTCTCCATCCACGATTCATTTGTCCTCTGTTCACTTTTTGCCATGATGCCGACTCGATAAGAAGCTTTGAGATGACTTGTGCGTCGGTTGACCTCGTAAGCTGCTAAATGACCTAGGAAGTCCTCTACTTACGATCTGGGTTGTTTGTTGCTATGGAGGTCTGGAGAGTTGCATTGGTTTGAGTTAGGTTTTCTTGGGGACAAGCAAACGGTTAAGTGTGGGGGAGTTTGATAACGATGTAATTGCACATATTTGCGCCCCTAGTTCTTATCCGTTTGAGGGGCATAGTCGTGTATTGTGGCCTATTTTACGCCGGGTTGTGCTATTTTGTCATGTTTCAGGTCCCAGGTGTCAAAGGGAAGGCTAAGCGCGAGTTTCGGGGCATTCGGAAGTCATTTCGGTGAGCTGGAGCCAAAACACGGGCACACCTAAATCATTACACGGCCGTGTTCTGGTGGCCGTGCTTTTTATGCCGAGAGCTGAGCTGATTACACGGGCAGGGCCAAAACAAAGCACGGGCGTGTTCAAGCATTACACGGCCGTGTCCAAAGCGAAGCACGGCCGTGTTTCTCCCCACTGCTGCTAGTGTAATTAACACTAGCCAAAGCACGGGCGGGCTGAGGCATTACACGGCCGTGCCCTCGACCGTGCTTTGGCTGATGCCTTTTTAAGCAGATTTTCAGCCAAACAGAAGGGGGATTCGAGTTTTTGAGAGAGAGATCAGTTCCTAGAGAGAGAAAGTGACGAGCAAGAGTTCCCAAGTGCCCTAGATTGATCTTCAACACCATTGGAGGCCAGCTTGAGCTTGGAGAAGTGCCAATCAACGTCCAGAAGCAGGAATCCATCCTTCGCATTATGAATTCCGTGTCTGAATCTGCTTTTGCTTTCTTCTCCATGGAGTAGTTCTCCCATTCATCTGGGTATGGAGAACCCTAGATTTGTATGTTAGGCTTTGATTGTATGAACCCAAGTACTGATTCTGTGATTGATTATATTCGATTGAGGTTTTAATGATTGAATGACTTGAATCCTGATCAAATTCCTGTTGTTTCTGCTTTAACCTAGAATGAGAATATCTGCCTAGGTTAATAGAGTATCCTTGATTGAAGGTAGGGAGTTGGTGACTTTAGTCGAGGAGCCAACTCACTATTCTGTACCGGATTTACTCCGGTAGTGGAGGTTTTGTTCTTAGGGCCTCAATCTGTCGACTCTGGTGGAGGTTAGTCGCCCGCTAGAGAGTCAGATTGAGAGGGTCTGAAGACCTTTAGTCGAGACTTCAAGCTGTTTAAGAACCTTCCACAGTATAACTGTCATAGAAACTGAACTTGGTAATTACAATCCGGCTTAACTGCAGTCTAGGGGGAACCATATCCGGTTGACCTCTTTAACCTGAATACAACAGTTTACTTGCTTTGTTTGTTTGGTAGTTTAGACTTGCATGCCAGTTTCATTGCTAGATAACAAGAATTCACTGAGTAGTCATCAGATCTAGGACCCGGGTTGACATATAAACCTAACCCGCTATACTACGCTTTAGGAAGTGGTTTCACTTGGCCAATTCCTGGAGTGACAGTAGAGTCGAGTCACGAGTCAACAACCTTTGTGTTTAGTTATTGTCCAAGTGCAAGTGGAGAAGTTCCAAGTTATTCTTTTACCCCACTCTCCATTCTAAAACCTTTGTGTTTAGTTATTGTTCGCTAGGTTTTCGTCTATGGCTTTTTGCACAAATCATCGCCTTTGTGTTTAGTTATTGTTCGCTAGGTTTTCGTCTATGACTTTTTGCACAAATCATCGCCTTTGCCACCACTTTGCATGCCATCTCGAAATGCTATCGGCGGGATCCTAAGTTGTTCTCCACCACCGTTTTCTAAGGCTGCTACTACGAGTTTTTTATCGGACCGAGTTTCATCCTCTTCGGTGTTTTTCCCCCTTTTTTTTCTTCCTTTTTGTTGAGTAACCCAAACACATGGATATCCTATCTTGAACATAAGTCATCGCCTTTGCCCCTCATTTTGCAGCCTATCTCGAAATTAATAGATTAATTTATTTAATATATAAAAGTCTAGGTTTGAGTTACTATTCATTAGTGACTCTCACACTCCTCCAAGTGCAAGTGGAGAAGTTCCAAGTCCTTATTTTACCCCACTCTCCATTCTACAACCTTTGTGTTTAGTTATTGTTCGCTAGGTTTTCGTCTATGGCTTTTTGCACAAATCATCACCTTTGTGCTTTCATCGCCTTTGTGTTTAGTTATTGTTCGCTAGGTTTTCGTCTATGACTTTTTGCACAAATCATCGCCTTTGCCCACCACTTTGCAGGCCATCTCGAAATACTGTCATCGGGATCCTAAGTTGTTGTCCACCACCATTTTCTAAAACCGCTACTACGAGTTTTTTATCGGGACCGAGTTTCATCCTCTTCAGTGTTTTTTTTTCTTTCTTTTCTTCCTTTTTGTTGAGTAACCCAAACACATGGGTATCCTATCTTGAACATAAATCATCGCCTTTGCCCATCATTTTGCAGCCTATCTCGAAATACTGTTAGGCGGAATCCTAAGTTGTTCTCCACCACCGTTTCCCAAGGCCGCTACCAAGAGTTTTGTATATGGACCGAGTTTCATCCTCTTTACTGTTTTTTCTTTCTTTTTTTCCTTTTTGTTGAGCATGATCACAATTGAACCCAAACACATGGGTATCCTAACTTGAACACAAATCATCGCCTTTGTCCACCATTTTGCAGCCCATCTCGAAATATTGTCGGCGGAATCCTAAGCTATTCTCCACCATTGTTTCCCAAGGCTGCTACCACAAGTTTTGTATCGGGACCGAGTTTCATCCTCTTTAGTTTTTTTTCCTTTCTCATTTTCCCTTTTGTTGAGCGTGATCACAATTGAACCCTATGCTTCTACCAAAAATTCATACCATATCTACTCAATGTTTGACGAGTTTTGTATCGGGACCGAGTTTCGTTCGCTTTAGTGTTTTTTACATTCACTTTTCCTTTTGTTGACCATGATCACAATTGAACCCAAATCCATGAGTATCCAACCTAATTCGTTCCGGTCAAAGCGACTTGAAACAAACTTAAGCATTTATACATTTCTCTTTTTTTCTTCTTTTGGTTGGGAAGACAATTGAACCCGAATCTAAGGTTTTGACGAGTGTTATATTGTGAGAGAGCTTTATCCGCTTATGTGGTTGGCAGGTTGGACCAAGTGTTAATTTGTTAAAAAATTGTTCAAAGCGAATTAAACACATTGTTGACCAGTTTTAGATCGAATGCGAGTTTTGTACACTTTAATAATTTTTTATTTCTCATTTTCCTTTTCGTTGCAAATGACAATTGAACTCTGAACCATTGTTAATGCGTTTCTTATCGAGAGCGAGTTTTATCTGCTTTTGTAATTGACATGTTGGGTAAATTGTGAATTTGTTAAAACTGGGTCGACCCGATCAAAGCGGGTTGAACTAAGTGTTGAGAGTTTGGGGTCATAAACGATTTTATCCGCTTTAGTATTTTTTTTTTTTTGTCTTTCTCCTTTTGGTTGAGAATGACAATTGAGTCCAAACGCATGGGTATACAACCTAATTCGACCCGACCAAAGCGACTTGAACTCGACTTAACAGGTTTTTGGTGGGAGAGAGTTTTATCTGATTTTGTAATTGGCGTGTTGTGTCAGGTGTGAATTTGTCCAAAACTCGGTCCAATCAGGTCAAAGCGAGTTGAACTTGGTGTTGACGAGTTTTGAGTCGATAGCGGGTTTTAGCTTTAGTGTTTTTAATTTCGCTTTTTGCTTTTGTTCGAGAAAGACAATTGAACCAAATCCATGGGTATCCAACTTAATTTGACCCGATCAATGCGAGTCGAACCTCCTCAAACCTGCAATCAGTCCAAAAAATTCATAAATGAGAACCACGATTACCTCAAACCCCCAAAAAAGGCAAAAAAAAAAAAACACAACTATGTTCTGCCCGAATTTTAGAAGTTTTATGTTTCAAAAGTTGAAGCCACGCCAAACACCTCTAAAGTTTCGCTTTTTAAAAAATTGAAAATTTTCGTAACTTAAAAGCAGAAGCTCCGTTTTAAAAATACAAAATTGTCCTTACCACATATTATTCTTTTTCTAGAAAATATAATTTTCTTTCATTTATATCATTATAAAAATAAATTAAAATAGTATTGTTTAATATAAAATAAATCTAACGTGATCTATTTTAAATAATTTTTTATTTTTAGAATTTGTATTCATATTTTATGTTAGAAATCTTTTTTATTCATTTTTCATTACCTCTTATATTAAAAAGTAATTCTGATAGTTTTTCAGCTAAACACTCAACAATTTTTTTAAAAATACTTCTTGAAAAGATCCAGTTTATATGACTGAATCACAAGTCTATCAACATTACAAGACATTTGGAGTGCAAATCCACCTTATTGTACAAATTGGACTCGGTACTAAGAGTTCGTAAACGTGCAAGTCTTGTCATTATGACTCAATTAAACGGTTTATGTGTTTATATGACTAAACCAATCAATGAATCACATGTCTATCAACATTACAAGACATTTGGAGTGAAAATCCACCTTATTGTACAATTTGGACTCGGTATTAAGAGTCCGTACTCGTGCACGTCTTGTCATTATGACTCAATTAAACGGTTTATGTGTTTATATGACTAAACCAATCAATGAATCACATGTCTATCAACATTACAAGACATTTGGAGTACAAAGTCACCTTATTGTACAAATTGGACTCAGTACTAAGGGTTCGTACTCGTGCACGTCTTGTTGACACAATTAAGTGGTTTATGTGTTTATATGACTAAACCAATCAATGAATCACATGTCTATCAACATTACCAGAGAAGTTGCTTCATTCTGCAAAAATTACAGCATAATCAATTACTAGCCATACAAATTGAAGCGTCATGAAAGAAGTTTAAACATAAATAATCTATTTGACGACCTTCTATCTTATGCAAGTTCATCGACCATATGATATTGTAAATAAAAAACCTATGAAAAGAATGATTAAGAATGAAATAAAATTACTTTCACTTTTGGGTCATCATTAAAATTTTTACTCTTTCAAATATTTACGCGAAGCGATAGCGAGCGGGCTTTTGCTAGTTAAAAAAAAACAAAATAAATGGAAGTAAATGTGAATTATTCTTATTATTTTTCTATGTGGCTTGTATATTTAATTTTATCAAAATGCAATCTTACATCCTTGTAAGTGTCCAGTACATCAGTGCAATCTCTTTTGCTATTGCCTATGGAGTGGCATAGGATTTGCAATTGGAGTAAGGGGAATGAATGTGAAAGTTGAAGTTAGATTTAGAGCAAGAGGAGGAAGAAGAAGAACACCTCGACATATGGTCAATTGTATATACATGTTTGTTTTGTCAATGTTTTCTTATGGTTGACCCATTCTCATTCCATAATTTTCATTTCCGGTTACTCTTCTTTCTAGGGGTGGGCATGGTGGAGTTCGAACCGCACCGTAACGCATTGATATAAATTATACTGCAAGTTAATCAGACTGCGCCGCATGCTTGATGTGGTCTAACCAAATCGCATTGTTCATGTGACTTGAATCGGACTATCAGTTGCTACGACTGGAAGTCATGGGGTCTCGTTGCCCGGTCAGCAAGTGGGATCCAGGGACAACGTCCCGATGGAGGGATGCGGGGGCAATGCGTTGTACATATACATGTATTAAACAGAGTATTTACTAACACCTTCCAATGATGAAGCTATTGATCCTGACTCCCCAAGAGTGTGGTTATGAGCAAGATCGACATTAAAGGTGTTGTTGCCCCTGAGATTCATGAACAAGCTGGAAAGGCAGCAGCCGACGAATCAATAAGCTTGGTCATCATAACCGCACGGTGTGTGAATTCATATGCAATTTTGGTGCGGAACCGCGCGGTTTCGATTTAATCCGACCGCAAACCGTGAACCACATTAAAAACAAACCGCATGTTAGATCTTAAGTTTTATGATGCAGTTTGGTTTGACCTCAAAACTGCGATCCGGTGTGGTTTGACCTCATCAATATCCACCCCTACTCTTTCTTCATTCTTAACATTTTTATTTGTCTGATAAACACTAGTACTAACACTTAGTTCATAATACAATTATGTATTCATACATTTATAAATAAACATAAGGCTACAAAATCACCAATCAATTCTACATTTATAATTATAGTGCATTTATCTAACATGCATTACCAAACACTTTGGATATATTTGCAAACCATAGCAAAACCCTAATAACTCATTAATACTTTGAAATTTCATCAAAACTACCTTTACATTCTCTTTCCCACTTAATTTCCAATATCTTTTGCATCTTCTCATCCAACTCGACAACTTCCAAATTATATTTCTCCTAGATACTCCTTGTCTACACCTTTCTCTCCAAACCTCACTTATCACCAAATTCATTATTAATCTCTCCATGGACACTGATGCAAGCTCTTTATTGCATCTTGCTCAGCCTCCTGGCTTTCACCTTTTGGTTGATACTTTCATGGTAAAGGGAACTCCACTGCAAGTTCATACTTGATATAATCACAGACAAAGAATGTATGCTCTCGTGTTTTACAGTTTTAGGACCTTATAACTGAGTAAACTATTATATGCTACCTCAGGAGACCATCCCATCTCCTTATTATTATTTTTATAGGATATTTATCATTTCTATTAGTATTAACTAGGTAGTCAGTGAAAATCTTGCAATTTCTTGAATTTCTTAAAATGAGACTTACATCTATAGACTTTTTTGCAAGATTGTAGCACAATTTGTCTTTATCCCATATACAAATTGAATGTATAACATAATGGATCTTAGTTTTTCTTTTTCTCCTCTCCTTTCTTCTATTTCTACCCTTGTCGTGGCTAGATTTGTGTTGAATCCAATCAATGAATCATAAAGAGATAAAAATTAATTTCTTCCAATATCTCAATTATAAGAAAACAAGCAAAACAACATTGAATGAGCAATTCATTATAAACTTTTG